GAACGTGTGCAAGCGCTGCAGCTCCCTGCTGGTGCCTGGCGTCACGGCCACCGTCAGGCTGGGAGGTGCGTGTGTCTGTGTGTGTGTGTGTGTGTGTCTGGGTGTGTCTGGGTGTGTGTGTGTCAGTCTGTGAGTGTGTCTGCGTGTGTCTGTGCGTGTGTCTGTGCGTGTGTCTCAGTGTGTCAGTCTGTGCGTGTCTGTGTATCTGTGTGTGCGTCTGTGCGTGTGTCTGGGTGTGTGTGTGTCTGTGTGTGTCTGTGCGTGTGTCTGTGTGTGTGTCTGTGCGTGTGTCTGGGTGTGTGTCTGTGCGTGTGTCTGGGTGTGTGTGTCTGTGTGTGTGTCTGTGTGTGTGGTGGGGAGCGGTAGTGTAGCGGTTAGCGCGCTGCGCTATGAACCTGGCGACCCGGGTTCGATTCCCGCTCACGGCTAACACCAGTGACGATTATCTGAACCGGTCCTGGGCCTCCCCTAGGTCGACTCAGCCTTAAATGAGTACCTGGTGCGGTGTGTAAACATCGCCACTAGGGAGACAAAGGCGGTCGGGCGTGGTGCTGGCCACCCACCCCCTCGTGTACCGTTCCGGCCTTCATAGGTGCTCGCTAACAGCACTTGCCCCTACAGTCTGTTCAGGCTATACGGGGGATCTTTGTCTGTGTGTGTCTGTGGCACTTGCCCCTACAGTCTGTTACAGGCTACACGGGGGAGCTTTGCGTGCGTGTGTACGGATAAAGTTACCCGCCGCTTTAAACCTGTAATTGAACGCGCCGCAATTAAGACGCGGCGCCGTGTAACTCAACGTCCCGCCGCTCCGCGTGCTCGCTCGCTATCTTTCGGCACTTGCGCCGCCAAAACGTCGAGGCTTTACGGGGAGAGGGGAGGGAGAGAACCTTTGTCTGTGTGCGGACCCCCAGGCCGGCGGCACCGCCGCATCGCCGTGCGCTGCCTCTGCTGCGCTGCCACCAAGCGCTTCCCCGCTCGGAGCCACTGCTCGCCGCTGTGGAGCGAGCGCCCGGAGGCACAGCTCGTCGAGCCGCAGAGGGGGCCTCCAGCGCCAGCTTCAACACCGGCTTCAGCTGCGATTCCTACACCAGCGCCAGCTTCAACACCGGCTTCAGCTGCGATTCCTACACCAGCGCCGGCTTCAGCTGCGATTCCTACACCAGCGCCGGCTTCAGCTGCGATTCCTACACCAGCGCCGGCTTCAGCTGCGATTCCTACACCAGCGCCGGCTTCAGCTGCGATTCCTACACCAGCGCCGGCTTCAGCTGCGATTCCTACACCAGCGCCGGCTTCAGCGCCAGCTATTACAACACCAGCGCCGGCTTCAGCTATTAGAACACCAGCGCCAGCTCCAGCGCCGGCTTCAGCGTCAGCTTCAGCTGCGATACCTCCACCAGCGCCGGCTTCAGCACCGGCTTCAGCTGCGATTCCTACACCAGCGCCGGCTTCAACACCGGCTTCAGCTGCGATTCCAACACCAGCGCCGGCTTCAGCGCCGGCTTCAGCACTGGGTCCAGCCCCAGCTTCAGGGCCAGCGCCAGTCTGAGCTCCAGCCCCAGCTGCAGCTTTAGATCACTGAGTCTCAGGGTCTCCGTGCGAGTCTAGGGGTCTCTATGTGAGTCTATGGGTCTCTGTGTGGGTCTATGGGTCTCTGTGTGAGTCGATGTGTCTCTGTGTGGGTCTATGGGTCTCCGTGTGAGTCTAGGGGTCTCTGCGTGAGTCTATGGGTCTCTGCGTGAGTCTATGGGTCTCTGTGTGAGTCTAGGGGTCTCTGTGTGAGTCTATGGGTCTCTGCGTGAGTCTATGGGTCTCTGTGTGAGTCTATGGGTCTCTGTGTGAGTCTAGGGGTCTCTATGTGAGTCTATGGGTCTCTGTGTGAGTCTATGGGTCTCTGTGTGAGTCTATGGGTCTCTGTGTGAGTCTATGGGTCTCTGTGTGAGTCTATGGGTCTCTATGTGAGTCTATGGGTCTCTGTGTGAGTCTAGGGGCCTCTGTGTGAGTCTATGGGTCTCTGTGTGAGTCTATGGGTCTCTGTGTGAGTCTATGGGTCTCTGTGTGAGTCTATGGGTCTCTGTGTGAGTCTATGGGTCTCTGTGTGGGTCTATGGGTCTTCGTGTGAGTCTATGGGCCTCTGTGTGAGTCTAGGGGTCCTCCGTGGTGACTAACGTCTCGAACAAACACGCACGACGGTGCTGCCACGGCAGAGGTCGCAACCGGGTACCCGATACCCGTACCCTACCCGATACCCGGCTACCCGTACCCGGCCGGGTACGGGTACCCGTTTGCGACCCTGGTGCGGCCGGGTACGGGTACGGGTAGGCCGTGAGTCACTGGCGAGTCACCGTGATTGTCACTCATTTCCCAACGTCTTGTCTCTTCTCGCAATTCAAGTTCCTAGAAGCAACCCACCCGCGCCTGCAACATGGCTTCATCCCAGAGGTCGCAATCAGGTACCCGATACCCGTACCCTACCCGTATCCGGCCGGGTACGGGTAGGGTACGGCCGGGTATGGGTAGGGTACGGGTACGGCCGGGTACGGGTACCTATTTGCAACCCTTTGTGCAGCCGGGTACGGGTAAGGAATCAAAACCCGTTTGCGACCTCTGTGCTACTGCCACATTTGGGGGTGGGGTGTTGTGGGGGTGGTGGTGGTGGTCGGGGTGAGGGTGGGGGGGTGGGGTGGGGTGGGGGTGGGGTGGGGGTGGGGTGGGGGTGGGGGTGGGGTGGGGGTGGGGTGGGGGTGGGGGTGGGGTGGGGGTGGGGTAGGGTGGGGGTGGGGTGGGGGTGGGGGTAGGGTGTGGTGGGGTGGGGTGGGGGTGGGGTGGGGTGGGGTGGGGGTGGGGTGGGGGTGGCTTGGGTGGGGTGGGGTTGGTGGGGTGGGGGTGGGTGCGGGTGGGGTGGGGTGGTGTTGGGGTGTTGTGGGGGTGGGGTGGGGGTTCCTGAGGGGGAGGTTCTAAGACATCGCCCACCTCAAGACGTTCCATGCATCGATCTTGCCGCGCATGCAAAACGAGCCCAGCAAGAGAGAGGAGGAGGAGGAGGGGGTGGTGGTGGTGGTGGAGTTGGGGTTGACGCGCGCACGCAATCGCTCCACACCCGGGCCATGTAATTTATCACGAAAGTCCGGCCGGCAATACATTTGGAAATATCAAAGTATCGACCCACTTTTTATTTTTTTAAATACGCGTCGGCACTGGCAGGACGCGGCGGTGTGCGGGAGAGATGAAGGTCGTGCGTGATTTCTAAACGATAAGCCGACGGCGATTCTCAGCGCTCTTGCCACTGCGATTAGGCGACGCTGGATGAAGGTTTCGATGTGGCCGCTGTCCCTCGGCCGTGATTTGCCCGACTCGAAAATGTTTAATTCTAGATTTGAAGCTTTCGTGACTGCAGGGATTCATCTTCTTGGTTCTTTCGGTAAAGTCACGTAGAAGGGAGATAATATAATAAAAATAAACGTAATAAAAATAATTTATTTTATTATGTTTTATTGTTATTATTGGAAATAATCAAATAATAAAAATGAAATAATAATAAAAACATTTATTTTATTATGTTTTATTATTTTATTATAATAAAATAATTTATTTTATTTTGTTTTATTTTTATTATTTCCATTCTACGTGACTTTACCGAAAGAACCAAGAAGATATTTTTATTCTTAGGTTTTTTTCGGTAAAGTCACGTTGGTAAAAAATAAAATTAATAAAAGTAAAATAAAAATAAAAATCACGACGTTTCGCAGGCAACACAAGCTTCCGTCTTCAGGTGGAACCGTCACAGCACGATAGCTGTATCAAGTGAGAGAAATTCCAAGAACACAGTCCTTGTATATATACTGGTTGAGGGTGGAAGGAGGCAAGGTAGGCCCCTGGATATTATTTTTGTGAGGTTCGGTGCGGCTGAAGCACGCTGTTAGGAATGAGCCTTTGTTGTGTAAACTATGTTTGTATTCCATTGGAGCCTCATTTTCCAGTTAAAAATATGATAATTGTTTTTTTTAATCCTTTATATTAAGTTCACTTGCTTGCTTGCTTAGGACCGTGCAAATCTTTCGGTCGTTTTTTAACCCCCTTCCCGTGATCCAATCGAGCTGACATTTTGCACACAGACTCGTTGTGCGTGACAATTAATGTTCGTGAAAATTTTTTTCCAAAATTTTCCACTGTTTAGGAAAAAAAAATTCATATTTTAAAATACCAATGTGATAAAAATGAAACTCTTACTCCAGAAAAACAACGAAATCTTTCCCTGCCACGTTTTAAATGTGTTCACGTGACAAATGCCCAGCACATCACCAGGGCCTTCCCCTTCTCACCACACGTCCCTTTATTCTTTCTCTCTCTCTCTCGTTCACCGTGACAAATGCGATGGGTCCCAGAAGAAAAGTGTCACGATGCAACAAATGAACGGCGACTTACACGAAAAAATGAAAAAAATAAAATTACACACTGGTCAACACACTTTTTCTGGCATAAGATATTCCAACGGCTTTAAGGTAATTTTGGGGGTGCCGATTCCAAATCTGGCATCAGTTTTTGTCTATCACATCAGGTTTTTGAGATATGAAATATTGCATTTCCAATAAAAACTGCGGAAGAGAAATATTAAATAAATGTGGATATCTACATAAAATGATATTATAAACACACTATCCTAAAAATACAGCACCACATTTTAACACTAAAGCAGTCACTGACTCGCAACAACTTGCAATCATAAGTGACAGAGTTAATTTCTGGTAAAATCAATGAAAACGGGGTATTTATTATTTTTATTTATTTTATTTTTCTACCCACGTGGCTTTACCGTGAGCAGCAGAGATGATGGGTTTTTGCAGACACGAAAGCTTCAAATCAAGATTTTCAGCTGCTTTTGTTTACTAGGATTATCCGGCACTGGGAGGGCGGGGGGGGGGGGGTCAGAAACTTTTCAATGTTTCAACTCTTTGGTTCTTTCGGTAAAGTCACGTAGGTGAAAAAATTAAATCCAAAAAACTAAAGAGTATGGATCCTTGCAGTCACGAAAACTTCAAATCCAGAATGATTGTTTAAACTGCCGGACCGAGGAAACGGATTAAATTTAATTAAATGATGACGTCACCCTGATGCTGCTGCTCTATTTAAAACCGGAAGCAACAGGAGAGCTTCACCATTCTTGCCCGATGAAGCTGATAGTGATTACCAGCGAAACGTCGGACTACTCAAATTAAAAAAAAAACTCGATTTAAAGCTTTCGTCACTGCAGGGATTCATCTTCTTGGTTCTTTCGGTAAAGTCACGTAGAATGGAAATAATACAATTATAAAAATAAAACATAATAAAATAATTTTAAAGCTTTCGTGACTGCAGGGATTCATCTTCTTGGTTCTTTCGGTAAAGTCACGTAGAATGGAAATAATAAAATAATAAAATAAAACATTAAATAATTCTCACGACGTTTCAGCCACAACGCAAGCAGCCGTCCTCAGGTGAAGAACAGGTCTGTCTCATTCAGACGCTGTCTCCCCGACAGACCTGGTCTTCACCTGAGGACGGCTGCTTGCGTTGTGGCCGAAACGTCGTGATAATTATTTTATTATGTTTTATTTTATGAATTCCATTCTACGTGACTTTACCGAAATAACCAAGAAGATGAAAGTATAAAAATGCTGTTGATTCTCTCTTCAACACACCGGTGGGCTAAAGAAGTGAATAATTTTGTCCTTTGATAAAGCGACACATTTTTTAACTGATTGGCCATGTCGGGTGGTGGAGGGTTACGACACATTTATAAATAACAACGCGATCTGACCCAAAAAACATATTACGAGGAAACGGAATCGAACCGGCGACACATCGGGAACGCAAGTCCAGTAGCGCTGTTGCTTGACCACTCCACACCGCTGCGTTGACAGCAGCATTGGTGAGAAGTGTGGTGCTCATGATTGACACACACCACGTGCCACAACCAGGGGGAGGGGTAGAAACCGGTCCGGACCGGTCGGGCCAACGGCTGTGGGAACCCCTCTGAGGGGAGGGGGCTGGGGGAAGCTACCATCCCCCAGAGCCCCGCCCCTCAGGAAGGAAGAAACCGGTCTGAACCGGTCCAAACCGGTCGGGCCAATGGCGGTTGGAACCCCTCTGAGGGGAGGGAGGGGCTGGGCAGGAGCTACGATACCCCAGAGCCCCTCCCCTCAGGGAGAGAGAAACCGGTCTGAACCGGTCGGGCCAATGGCGGTTGGAACCACTCTGAGGGGAGGGGGGGGGGGCTGGGGGGAGCTACCATCCCCCAGAGCCCCGCCCCTCAGGGAGGAAGAAACCGGTCCAAACCGGTCCAAACCGTCGGGCCAATGGCGGTTAGAACCACTCTGAGGGGAGGGGGCTGGGGGAAGCTACCATCCCCCAGAGCCCCGCCCCTCAGGGAGGAAGAAACCGGTCTGAACCGGTCCAAACCGGTCGGGCCAATGGCGGTTGGAACCACTCTGAGGGGAGGGGGCTGGGGGAAGCTACCATCCCCCAGAGCCCCTCCCCTCAGGGAGGAAGAAACCGGTCTGAACCGGTCGGGCCAATGGCGGTTGGAACCACTCTGAGGGGAGGGGGGGGGGCTGGGGGGAGCTACCATCCCCCAGAGCCCCGCCCCTCAGGGAGGAAGAAACCGGTCCAAACCGGTCCAAACCGGTCTGGCCAACGGCGGTTGGAACCCCTCTGAGGGGAGGGGGCTGGGGGAAGCTACCATCCCCCAGAGCCCCGCCCCTCAGGGAGGAAGAAACCGGTCCAAACCGGTCCAAACCGGTCTGGCCAACGGCGGTTGGAACCCCTCTGAGGGGAGGGGGCTGGGGGAAGCTACCATCCCCCAGAGCCCCGCCCCTCAGGGAGGAAGAAACCGGTCCAAACCGGTCCAAACCGGTCCAAACCGGTCAGGCCAATGGCGGTTGGAACCCCTCTGAGGGGAGGGGGCTGGGGGGGAGCTACGATCCCCCAGAGCCCCTCCCCTCAGGGAGGAAGAAACCGGTCTGAACTGGTCGGGCCAATGGCGGTTGGAACCACTCTGAGGGGAGGGGGGGGGCTGGGGGGAGCTACCATCCCCCAGAGCCCCGCCCCTCAGGGAGGAAGAAACCGGTCCAAACCGGTCGGGCCAACGGCAGTTGGAACCCCTCTGAGGGGAGCTGGCTGGGGGAAGCTACGATCCCCCAGAGCCCCGCCCCTCAGGGAGGAAGAAACCGGTCCAAACCGGTTGGGCCAACGGCGGTTGGAACCCCTCTGAGGGGAGGGGGCTGGGGGGGAGCTACGATCCCCCAGAGCCCCGCCCCTCAGGGAGAGAGAGTATATAAGGCGGGTCCCTGAGAGCGCGAGTCAGTCCGTCTCAAGCCGAAGCCAGAAGCCGCCGGAAGAAGAAGACGACCCTGGACCCCAAGCCACTGACGTCCTTCTGAGGGCCGGGGCTCAGTGCGGTGCCGGTGGTCGGGGGGCTAGGACCCTGAGGTTCCCTCGGCCTGATGTCCTTGTGAGGATCAGGTCCGGACGGGCCGGTGGTCAGGGACCCACCGGACCAGCGGTGGGTCGGCCTCCCTTAGGTCTAGCCAGCCGGAGGGCTCAAGTAGGGAGAGTCGTAGGTACGATAGCCCGGAG